ATCATTAAATGAAATCAATTCACACACTAAACTCTCTTCTTCCATCTCTTTCACTTAACCCTCTACCTTATGCACTGCTCTCGCTTTGAGGTTACAAATCTCCGTTACTGGGCCTTAATACTACTCACGCTCGCACTTTCCCATTTACTCCGCAAATGATACATTTTGCCCAAATTTTATATCCACCACTTTCCATTTACCTTCTAACCCCCTTATCTGTCATAATTACATCTTCACCTACATATTAATCATTATTCCCCCCCCCAATAAAAATACCAACCCCCCCCAACAACAACAACCCACAATACAAAACATACATCACCCCGACAGTATCACAGTGTGTCCAAACAAAACCCACCAACCCACATTATCACATAAGATCACCCTCCCATAACTAACCCAAAACATCACTTTGTGTCACTCATCTAATTTACTACTAACCACTCCTAAACAACACCAAAAAACCAAAACACAACAACAACCCCCCCACAACCACCCCCACAACCCCCCCCACCAACCCCCCACAACCCCCCACACCCCCCCCACACACCCCCCACCACCCCCCCACACCCCCCCACCACCCCCCACACACCCCCCACCACCCCCCCACACCCCCCCCCACCCCCCCCCCACCACCCCCCCCACCCCCACCCCCAACACACCCCCCCACCCCCCCCCCACAACCCCCCCTACCACCCCCCCACCCAACCCCCCCACCCCCCCCACAACCCCCCCACCCACACCCCCACCCCCCCCCCCACACCCCCCCACCCCCCCACACCCCACCCCCCCCCCCCCCCCCCCACCCCCAACCCCCCCCCCACCCACCCCCACCCCCATACCACAAACAAACAACACAACACCCCAACACAAAAAAACACCACACCCAACCCACCCAACAACAACCACACCCAACCAACACCAAAAAACCCAACCCACCCCCAAACAACAAACACAACCCCACACCCCCCCCCCTCCCAATACCAAAAACTCTCCCCTTTCTACCATACTGATAAATCCTAGTCACCCAAAATACAATACATCAAATCCCCCATACTTACATCAACACCCTCCTTTTTCCATTTTATTTCAAATAAACAACTATATTTTTCTTTCTCTATCCCCCTCCTCCTCTCATCCCCATTCCTATCATATCCCCATCTCATTATACACACTAATACCACCCCTAAAAAACACCCTATACAATATCCAAAAACCCCAACACAACCCCAAAACCCCCCCTAACTATCCCAACACCTCCCCCATCTATCCCCCATCCCCCCCCCCCCCCCCCCCACCCCCCCCCCCCCCCCCCCACCCATTAACCACCTTCACCCCTACCAAACACTCACATACCCAAACCAACCACCCATCCCTACAACATACCCATCCACTTACATATACATATACCATACACCTATAAATACCCACCCATTCAAAATATTACTACAATATTACAAATATCTATAACAAAATTAAACAATACATAAAATACATAACCCAAAAACATCAAAATCACCCCATAATCCAAACACTACATCAAATCCATCCACCCCACAACTACCACCTAACCTAAAATATACTTAAGAAAAAACCACAAAAATTCATTCCGGTAGAGCTCCTACCCCATTTGAGTCGTGTGTGACATCATGCGGCAGTTTCTCCTCTTGAACCCTTTACAAATGCTTTTGGACATGATCCGATACTTTCATCCAGTTCTCTGCTGTTTTATAACATTAACATTTGCATTCTTCCTGTTCAATCAGAATGAAAACATACTTTTCACAGACTGCCAATAGTTCTCTGTAAAACACCCGAGTAGTAGAAATCTTTCATCGGCTTTTGCGCCTCATCACCATAAAACCTGTCAAGGTGAACAATTTTGAGTTGTCTTTTTTACGTTCACCGAGCTCTCTCTATCTCTCTCTGCCTCAAGCCATCTCTCTCTGCTCGCGTTCTCACTCTTTCTGCTCTAATGCGTCTCTTCTGCTCCTGTCTGACGCTCGCCGTCTCGTCTCTGCTCTGTCTTCTCTTTATGCTCACGTCTCTCTCTCTATGCTCACGTCTCTCTCTGCTCACGTCTCCTCTTGCTCACCTCTCTCTCTCTCTCTCTGCTCACCTCTCTCTCTCTCTCTGCTCACGCCTCTCTCTCTTGCTCGCGTCTCTCTCTTTCAGCTACGTCTTCTCTCTCTCTTGCTCGGTTCTCTCTGCTCTGTCTTCTCTCTCTCTGCTCAGTCTTCTCTCTCTCTGGGTCCGTCTCTCTCTCTCTGCTCACGTTCTCTACTATTAAAACCAAATAACAAAACAATACAACCAAACCACAACACCAAACAACAAACACATAAACCACCCACAAACCAAACCCACACAATATAAACCAACACAAACCACTACCTCCAACACACCCCCCACCACAAAAACAACAAAACCAATACCCCCAAACCACACCCAACATATTACACAACACAATATCTAAAAACACATACAACACACCACACATCACTCCCTAAAACACAATACCACACACCAATCTTAATAAACCACACATCCACCCCCCAACACAACATCACCCCACCACACTCACCACCCACCACAATCAATTGTAGAGAACGAACATTGTGTATAACACACTCACAAATCCACCACCACCTATAATATATTCTATATAACCACTATCATAATATATACTATACACAATCCTCTCTCTCTCTACTCTACTCTCTCTCTCTATCTTCTCTTATATCTATCTATACTATTCATCTCTTTACCCCTCTCTATCTCTATATCCTATATATCTATACTCATATCCTCTAATACTATCTCACTATCTCATATCTATAATATCCTCTCATATCTATTCTTGCTTTCGCACGACTTCTCTATCTCTCTCCTGAATCATCCATCTTCTCTCTACAATCTATCTATCTCTCTCTCTCTATCTCCTCTCTATCTTCTCCTATCTCTCTCTTCTATCTTATTCATCTATATCCCTATCTCTCTTTCTCTCTCTTCTCATATCTCTCTTATGTTCTATTTCTATCTCTACTTTATCCTCTTCTTCTATCTCTATATTCTATTCTCCTCTCTCTACTCTTCTCTCTTATCCTCTCCTCTCTCCTCATCCTCCTCTCTCTCTATCTCCTCTTCTCTCTCTCCTATTCCCTCTCTCTCTCTACCTATCTCCTATCTCCTCTTCACGCACGCAGACTCGCTCACACACGCTCATTTGTCTCTCCTCTTCTATATCCTATCTCATACCCTATATATCTCTATCCTATATATCTCTTTTTCTCCATATCTATCTCTCTCTTATAATATCCTATAATAATATCATATTATTTTCTCATCTCTCTCTAATATTCATCTATCTCCTATCTCCATATATATCTCTTTATTATCCTCCATATATATCCATATCTCCCCCTCTCTCTCATCTCTCATATATTCTCTCTCTATCGACATAACTCTCTATACTCCTATCTATCTTATATCTATATCCTTCTCTCTATCTCTCTCACTTATCACCATACCCCCACTACCCACACCACCAATATACCCCCAACCCTAAAATACATATCATCCCCCCCTTCATCCCATATTCCACATTCTAAAAACTCACTCAACCAACCTATCCCCCTAAATAAACCAACATCAATCCTTCCTCCTCCCCTTAACCATAACTCACCCCATCCCTCTAACTCAGCTCATGCTCTCTCGCTCTCTCCCATCACCCTACCCCCCCTCCAAATACCCTTCACCCCCTTCACCCCATCACCTCAACAAACCTCTACCCCCAAATCATTTAAAACCCAACAATCCACACAAACATAAAAAAACAACCCAACAAACATAAACACAAACAACATCTCCAATCAACATCCCAATCCCTCTCCACCAACCACAAATCCACCTACCACACATACCACCACCCACCACCAAACCCATCCACCCACCAACACAAAATCAACCCCACATCATACCTTCCCCTCCCTCTAAACAAACCAACCTCAAAAAAACTACCAACCTACCAACATCACCCTATCAACAACATTCAACAACAAAAACTCCACAATCACAAAAAAACACCCCACCCCCAAAACCCACAACACCACAATAACCCCAACCCCCCCCCCTCATCATACCCAACAACCCCCAACACCTTAACTATACCCCCTCAAACCCATTCTACTATGTGTGTGTTGACATAGATCAACCCACCACCCCCTAACCCCACAAACCCCCACCCCCCCCCCACCCCCCCCCCACCCCACCAACACCCCACACCCAACACCCCCCCCCCAAAACCCCCCCCCCAACCAACAACCCACCACACATACCACCCAACAACACTCAAACACAGACAAACAACAACAACTACACACACAACACAACACACACAAACACAAAAACACACACACAACCCAACAACAACACCAACAAACACAAAACAACTACACACACACACACACACACACACATACACAAACACACACAACACACACAATCACACACACAACACAAAAAAACACACAAACAAACACACCCAGTAGAGACAACAATATACCCAACTCCCACCCCACAACACACCCACTCAAACACACACAAACACAACAACACACAAACAAAACACACACAACACACACCAACACACATACAAACACTCAACTCACACAAAACACCCCCCACACACACACACACACCATCACACACACACACAACAAACACACAACAAAACTCACACACACACAAACACACACACACACACCACAACAACACACACAACACAACACACACACACACACACAACACACACACAACACAAACACACACAACAAACCACAACACACACACCACAACACACAACACACACACAACACACACAACACACAACAACACACAACCACACAACACACAAACAACACACACACCACCTCAAACAACACACACACACACAACACACACAACACAAACAACACAACACACACAAACAACACAACAACACACACCCCTACACAAACAAACCCCAACACACACACAACAACACCCCAACAACAACACACAACACAACCCACAAACAACCACCACCACACCAACCCCCCCCCCCCCCCCCCCCACCCCCCCCCCCCCCCCACACCCCCCCACCCCCCCCACCCCCCCACCCCAAACACCCCCCCACCCCCACCCCCCCACCCCCCACCCACCCCCCACCACACACCACACCACCCAAACCCAAACACACCCCACAACCCCAAAAAACATAGAACCCCCACCAAAAACACCAACACACCCCCACCCACCCCAAACAACACCATCCCAAACCCACAAACCCCCACACAACACCACACACACTCACCACAAAACCCCCACCCCCCCCAACCCCACCTCCCAACACCAAACCACAACCCAACAAAACCCAAACCACCACATAACCCCCAACAAACAAACCCACACAAACAACCCCCCCACAACCAATCCCACCCCCAAACCCCCCCCAAACAAAAACCAAAAAAAACAAAACACCAAACCCCACCAACACACAACACCCCATCAACTTACTCCACATAAACCTAACAACAACAACCACAAACAAACCCACCCAACACATCAACATCCCCCCCAACCCCCACACCATCCTCCCCCCCCATCCATATCAAATAAAATCCAACCACCCTAAATTCATACCAAACACCAAAATCACCCTTTCTCTCCCACCTCCTTCTTAATCCTTCCTTACCCCCTATAATCACCCACCCCCCCCCCATAACTTCTCTCTTTCTACCCTTACTCTCATAACCACCCACATATACCCACCCCCTAATACCATTCCTCTCACCCTATTCCAACTCCATCCCAAAATTCTCACCTCATAACACAAAAACCTCCCTCATCTATCAAACCTCCTCCTCATACCATCCTCTCCCCCCCTTCCATTTCACCATACTCACATCCACAAAACCCCCCCACCCAGTTGTCACTAACACATAAACAACCTTAATATAATCCCCCCTTTAAACACAACACAAATATCCAATCATAATTAACATATAACATTCATATACCAATATTCATACTCAAATTATCATAACCTAATACTTCTTCCTTCACACCACATACACCCTCCTTCCAAATTTAAAATACTAAAAATAATATCCTAATCTGTCAAAATTAAATCCATCCCCCAAAAATAAAAAACACATCCTACAAATTCACCAACCTTCATTCTTAACAATAACCATACATCTTAAATAAAACCATACACAAAAAAAAATATTAAATCATCACCAAAACCATTAAACCTCTTATATCAATCTCATCATAAAAAAATACGCATTGATCATACACAAATTAATTTACACAAATCAATCTTATAATAATTAATCCTATTAAAATGAAATCAAATATAAAATATAATAACATTACCATACCATAAAATAAAATTCCTCTATTACATTACAATTTTATTAATTAACAACCATTTACCATCCAACCAAACCACATAACACATACTAATCATTCTCTGATCACTCTAAACATTTATAATTACTTTTACTACATCCATGCTCAGTTCGCCCGATACCAAACTAACCCAATTAAAATCAAACCCCCACTTACAACCACCAGAAAACCCATATTTTCTGTTTAAAACCCAACACCTGATTTAAAAACTTAATACTTACTAAAAACTTAATAAAAAAACTACAATCAATATATAAAAACCAATTCCATAATATATTATCGTAGATTTGCTATTTTCATTGTTTTTCTCCCTAAAAATAACAAAATACCAACTAACACATTTTAATCTATACTTCCTTAGTGAGTTCATCATATCCTGCCCGTACCTTTCATTAATCATCTTACTGTTCCACTTTCAGAATACCTGATGATGCTTATCCCATACTCAAAATTTTCTCCCTCCCCTTTTTTAATCCCCTATTTCACCCCCCATTTTTGACTCACATATTACCCCTTTTAATTAAGATTCTTTAAACCAATCTATTCATTCCATTATATTTACAACATAACTTAAATCTTTAATAACCATTTACACAATACCCCCAACACCCAACATATATACCATAAAAAAATATATATCAAATACAAAAACCATATAAAACCCCTAATTCAACACATACATATAATTAATCAAACCCAGTAAAAATAACCTAACATCTCATCCAAATAATATTACCACTTTCACACCCCCACCACCCAATACAATACAATACAATAAAATATATTAAAAACCAAACCCCAAAAACAAAACTATCAAAACACAACACCTAAAACCCCATCTCCCCTAACACCAATCTCATCCACAACTCTTCTACTAATCCCCCTACAAGTTTGCAAACTAATCACTCCAAAAAACTAACCACTGCTCACCCCCCCTTCAATACCATCCCCTATCTTCCCTATACATTTACCTTTTTTTCCAATTCATCACCCCCCAAACCCACCCCTCCCGTACCAAACAATAAAACCACATCCCCACTTTCTCACCTAAATTACCACCCCCCACCCCTATCCCCCCCAATCCCCCCTCCTACAATTCCAAATCCAAACCCCACAATCCCCAACTTAACCCCTCACACCCAAACCAAAAAAATACCCCCCCACCCCCCCATATTTCACCCATAATCACTATTCCTACCAATACAATTACACCCAAACCCCAATAAACCCCCCCACCCCCCCCATCCCCTATGATTTCATCCCACAACATTCTACTCCCAATCTCACACAAAAAATAGACATCCACCAAAATCCATCCCCCAACCCATTCCATCTTTTACATACCTATAATCCACTCCTTCATTTGTGTAATCCTTGTCAAAATCCGCCCCCCCTCATATACCCTATCTCCCTCTAAAACTCAAAACCCCATAAAACTCAATTCAACCTAATTCAAATCAATTCCCAAACCCCCAATCACTAACCAATATCCCAACATACTCAAGAATTCAAACAATAAAATTCACCCAACAATAATTCCTCACCACATACTACACCCTTAAACTCCTCCACCCCCCCCATAAAACACCCTACATTACATACAAATTCAACCACACACCCCACCCCAACACTCCCCACCAACCAATACATATCCACCCCTCCTTCCCCCCTCATCATCCCCCCCCCCATAAACACATATTTTAATTATATAACCTTTATCATCTCTTATAATCAAAATCCCACCCCACACCCTAAAATCAATATTCCCACCCATAACTAATTAAACAAATCCATATCCCCAACAACCCCATACATTATAAACCCCTTATTCAATATTCCCCAAAACCTCTTCCAAAAAATTTAAAACAATATCAACTTCAAAACAACCAATCCCCACAACCACACCTTCCCTCAAATATATATCCACCTACTGGGGTGCCCGTTTTTTTCAAACAAACCACCAACCACCCAAACACCCCCCCCCCCACACCACCCCCACACCCCCCCAACCACCCCAAACCCCAACACCCCCCCACCACCCCCCACCAACACCACCCCCAAAAAAAAAACCCACCACACACCCACAACCACCCCCCCCCCCACCCACCCCAACACCCCCACCACCCCCACACCACCACCACACAACCACAAAAACCACCCCCCACACCGTATCCAAACACCTCCTACAAAACCCACCCATAATAAACCCAAACACCCATAAAAAAACCATCAACAAACCCTCCCCACACCACCCCCCCCCATTCTACAACCCAAACACCAACACAACAACCCCCCAAACCAACACACACCACACCACCCCCAACCCCCACCAACCCCCACAACCCAAACCCACCCAATACAAACAACAACCAACCACCCAACCAAAAACCCCCCCCACCCACCCCCCAAAACCCCCCCCCCCCCCCCCCCCCCCCCCCCCCCCCCCCCCCCCCCCAACAAACACCAATAACCCCACCCCCACCACCCCCCCCCACCAAACACCACCCACCCCCACAATAAACCCCCCCATAAAACACACACAACCCCCCCCCAACCCCAACACAAAACCATATACCACCACCCATAATCACCCCCAACTACCCATAAACCCCCCCAAAAAAACACCCAATCCAACCAATACACCCCAAAAACACCCCCCAACCCCAACCCACAACACCCCAACCCCCCCCCAACCCAACCAATACCACATACCCACACAAAACCAATACCACCAAACACACCCCCCCCAACACCACACCCAACCACCACCCCACAACCCCCCCCAACACCCCCCAACAACACCCAAAAAAACCACCCCCCCCCCCCCCCCAACCCCCCCCCCCCCCAACAACCCCCCCCACCCCACCATCCCCCCCCCCACCAACCCCCCCACCCAACCCCCCCCAAAAACCACAACCAACCCAACCAACCCCACCCCCCCCCCCACCCAACCCCCCCCCAACACACCAACCACACCCCCCCCAACAAACACCCCCCCCCCAACCACCCCCCCCCCCCCCCCCACACCCCCCAACCCAACCAAACAACACCAACAACCCAAAAACCTCCCCCACCCCACACATAACCAACAAATAAATCCAACCAATTCCACCCCCACCCTCCCTTCCTTCCCATCCCATAAACCCTAAATAAACACCCACTTTCCCAATCCCTCAACCCCTCCCCTCACACACAATCACTCCCTATAACCCCCACCCCCCCCAATCCCCCCCTAAAAACATCCAAAAAACACAAACCCCAACCCCAATCACTCCCCCCCCTACCAACCCCCCCCCCAAACCTACTACACCTATCCCTTCCCAACCACTAAACCTCCATCCCCTAACCAAAAACCCACACCCCCCCCATCCCCCTCCCATCCCCTCCCCCAAATTTCCCATCCCCCCCCCCCCCCCCCCCCACCCCTCTTAACTTACCCCATTCACACCCTCATAAACTATACTTACATTCAATTATCTAATCCTCCTATTTACCCTCTCCACTCATCAACCTCCCTCTAATCCCCACAAAACCCTTTCAAACCTTTCCCCCTCCCTCCCCCCCCCTTCCACCACCATCAACCCCCCAATTCCCCACCCCCCATTTTCTCATCCAATATCACTACACCAATCTCCACCAACCCCTAATTCCACACCACCCTTATCACCCTATATAACTCCCCACACACACCAAAACCACACCACACTAATAATATATCTCTCTCAATTACCCCCCCCCTAACTCCCTCCAACTAAACACTACCCCTTTTTCCATTTCACTTCTTACACATAACCCCCTCCTAACCCCTTAACTACCCAATAAACCACCCATTAAACTACCAATAAAATTATACCCAATATACATACCCTTACCTTCCCCTAACCCAAATCTTCCATCCATCTACACATACCCCAATAACGTTCCCCCATTCCAAACCAACCCCTTTCCCCACCTATCACCCACATTCTCATATACGACTCTCGCGCTCATCTTATATGATATAAAAAACCCCCACCCCACCCCACCCCAACCAACCCAACACACCAACCACCACCCACCACCCCCCACCCAACAACCCACCAAACCCCCCCCCCCACACCCCCCACCCCCCCCCCCACCACACCAAACCACCCCCCCCCCCCCCACCACCCCCCCCCCACCCACCCAAACCCCCCCACACCCCCCCCCACCACACCCCCCCAATAAAACCCCCCCCCCCCCCCCCAACCAACCACCAACCCCAAAACAACAAACACAACCCACACCCCCCCCCCCACCACCCCCCCCCCCCCCCCCCCCCCCCCCCACCCACCCACCCCCCAAACCACAACCCCCACCACCAAAACCCACACCCACACCCCCACCACAAACACCCCCCCCCCCCCCCCACAACCCCCCACCCCCCCCCCCACCATAACTAACAACCAACCATCACCCACACCCCCCCACCCCCCCCCCCACCCCACCCCCACACCACCCCACCACCCCCCACCAACAAAACACCCCTCCATCCCACCCCCCCCCCCAACCCACCAACCCCACCAAAAACCCCAACCCCCCCCCCAAAAACACCCCCCCCCACCCCCCATCAACAACACCCACCACCCCCACCACCCAAAAAACCCCCCCCCACACCCCCCAACCCCCCCCAAAAAACCCCCAACCCCACAACAACACCCAACCACATACCCAATACCCACCCCCACCTAATATCCCAAACCCCAACACACAACCCCATATAACACCCCTCTATCCCCCCCCCCAACCCATTCCCCAATCCCCAACCCCAAACTCCCCCCCAAACTTTCCAACCCCCCCACCCCCACACCCTAAACCAAAAAATACCATCCCCCCCCCTATTTTACCCCCCCACTATCTATTCCCCCCCCATACAATTCACCAACCACAAAAACCCCCCCACCCCCCATCCCCTATTTTTATCCACAACAACTTCCAAACCAAACTATCCCTCCCCCCCCCCTCCCCACCCTCTAACCCTATCTTCCACCCCCCCCATATACCCCCACCCATCATCATAATCACCACTCCAATCTCCATTATACCACCCCCTCCACCTTAACCATCCCCATCACAAATAAATACACCTTTAACTAAACCTCCCCCCATCCAGTCTCCCCCCCCATACTCCCCTTCCCCCCCCTTCCTGTACTCTACCCTAATATTATCGTCTTAAACTATATAGCACTAGCATCAAATTCACCCCCCCCCTCAAATTGCTCACCCCCCTCTACTCCCTTGTGTGTGTGTGTGTGTGTGTGCATCCTCCCAAAACAATCCCCCATCCTTCTCACCTCCCCCCATCCCCCCCAACCCCCTCCCTTCCTACCACCCAGTAACACCCCCCCTTCTCCTCCATCACCTTCATCCTCCCCTCTTCCCATACCCCAAAATACAACCATCTCCAACACCACCACACCCAAAAACTCAAAAAACACAACCCCCCCCACAAAAACCAATCCCCCCATTCACACAACCACAAAACCCCCCACCACCCACCACCACCACACACCCACCCCCCACACACCCCCCCACCAACCCCCCACCCCCCAAACACCCCCACCCCCCCCCCACAACACCAACCACCAACCCCACCACCCCCCCCCCCCACCCCCCAAACCCCCCCCCCCCCCCCACCCCCCCCCCACCAAACAACACCCCCACCCCCCACCCCCCCCCACCCCCCCCCCCCCCAACCCCCCCAACAAAACACCACCAATATACCAAAACTCTCACTCACCAAACCAACCACCAACCCCCCCACCCAAAACCACCAACCACCACCCCCCAACCCCCCCAACCCACCCCCCCACAACACCACCCCACCCCCACAACCAAAACCACCCCCCCCCCCCCAACACCACCCCCCCCCCCACCCCCCCCCCAACCCAACCCCCCAACCCCCAACACCCACCCCAACCACCCCCACCACCACCCCCCAACCCCCCCCCCACACAACCCCCACACCCACCACCACACCCACACACACACCACACAACCCAAACCACCCCCCCACCACACCACACCCCACCCCCCCACCCCCCACACCCCCACACCCCCAACAACACCCCCCACCCAAACCCAAAAAACCACCCCCCCCCACCACCCCCACCACCCCCCCAACCCCCCCAACCCCCCCCCCCCCACCCCCCCACCCCCCCCCCCCCCCCCCCACCCACAACCACAACCAGCAACCCACCACCCCCCCCCCCCCCCAAAACACACACAACACCAACCCACAACCCCCCCCCCCCAAAACCCAAACCCCAACAACCCCACCACCAACCCCACCAACCAACACACCCCCCCCAAAACAAACCCCAAACACCCATCCCCACCCACACCCCCCAAACAACAAACCCAATACACCACACACCAACCCACACCAACCCCCAAACCCACCCCATTAAACCCAACCCCCTCTAAAAAATCTCTCACTCCCATCCCCCCCCATTCAACCCCCACCCATATCCACCATCCCCCTAAACCCTCTATCAACCCATAAACCCAAAACCCCAATTACACCCCCCCAAACAACCTACACCCCAACCCCCACCCCACCCCCTATAAACCCAACCCCCCCCAACCCCCCCCCACCCCCCCCACCCCACCCCATTACAACAATACACTCACTTACCCCCCCTCCTACCAACCCTTCTTCAACCCCCCCCACACCCCCCAATCCACCCCCATCCTACCCCTCTCCACCCCCATAACCCCCCCCCATCCCCCTCCCCCCTCCCCTCCCCTCCCCCCCCATACCCCCCACAATACTCCATACCCTATACCCATTCACCCACCCCCCCCCCACAAAATAATTACCCCCCCCACCCATACCCCCCTCCCACTTCCCTTCCCCCAACTGTGAAGATATATATATAGATAGAGATTCTGTATCTAGCTCGCTCGTCTCTCGCCTATACCAATTTTCTACCTCTTTCCCCCATTTCTTTTCCCCCACAACACCAAACACCACACAACCCCACCACCAAACAAACCACACCCAAACAACAACAACCCCACCACAAAAAACAACCCCACCCCCCCACCCCCCACCCCCCAACACCACCCCCCCCCCCCCCCCCCCCCCCCCCCCCCACCCCCCCCCCCCCCACCCCCCCCCCCCCCCCCCCCCCCCCCCCCCCCCCCCCCCCCCCCCCCCCCCCCCCCCCCCCCCCCAACCCCCACCCCCCCCCCCCCCCAACCCCCCCCCCCACCCCACACACCACCCACACCCACAACACCCAACACCAACCCCACCCCCCCCCCCAACCCCCCCCCACCCCCCCCCCCACCCAACCCCCACCCCCCCCCCCCCACCCCCCCCCCCCCCCCCCCAACCCCCCCCCCCCCCCACCCCCCACCCCCCCACCCCCCCCCCACACCACCACACCCCCACCACACCACCCCCCCCCCCCCCCCCCCCCCCACCCACCCCCCCACCACAACCCCCACAACCCCCCCACCCCCCCCCCCCCCCCCAACCACCCCCCCCCCCCCCCACAACCCCCCCCCCCCCCCCCCACACCCCCCCCAAACACCACCACACCCCCAAACCACACCCCCCCCACCCCCCACCCCCCCCCCACCCCACCCCCACCACAACCCCCCACCCACCCCCCACCCCCCCCCACCACCCCCAACCCCCCAACACAACAAACCCCCCAACACCCCCCCCACCAACCCCCCCCCAACCACCCCACCCAAACCCCACCACAACCCACCCCCACCCCCCCCACCCATCAACAACCACCCCCACCCACACACCAAAACCCACCCCACCCAAACCCCCCCAACACCCAACCCAAACCCCAAACCCCCCCCCACACACCCCCCCCCCACACAAACAACAAACCCACCACCCCACACACCCCAACACACACCACAACCCCCCACCACACCCACAACCACCACCAACCACCCCCCCCACCCACACCCACCCCCCAACCCACACACAACAACCAAAACACCCCCACCCACCCCCCCACACCCACCCCACCCCCACACCCCCCACACCACCACACCCCCAAACCCCACACACACCCACACCACACCCCACCAACACACCCCCCCCCCCACACCCCAACACCCCCCCCCAAACACAACCAAGACACCCCCCCCCACCCCCCCCCCCCCACAAACCACAACCCCCACACCAAACCCCACCCCACACACCCCCCCCCCCCCACCCACCCAAACCCCCACCACAAACCACCAAACCCCCCAACCACACACCCAACAACACCACACCCCCCCACACCCAACACCAACCCCCACCCCAACACCCACCCACCAACACCCACCAACCCAACCACCCCACCCAAACAACACCCCCAACCACCCCACCACAACCCCCCCACCACCACAACCCCCACACCACCCCCCCCCCCCCCCCCCCCCCACCCCCCCACCCACCCCCCCAAAACCCCCCCCACCCCCCCCCCCCCCCCCCCCCCCCAACCCACCCACCCCCCCACCACCCACCACCCCCCCACCACCCACCCAACACAAAACCCCCCACCAACACCCCCCCACCACCCCCCCCACAACCCCCCCCCCAAAACCCCCCCCCCCACCCCCCCACCACCCCCCAACAACCCCCCCCCACCCCCCCACACCCCCCACCACCCCCCCCCCACCCCCCCCACCCCTACCCCCCACACACCCCCCCACACCCCCCCCACCCCCCCCACCCCCCCACACACCCCCCCACCACCCCCCCCCCCCCACCCCCCCCCCCACAACCCCCCACCCCCCCCACACCCCCCCCACCCCCCCACCAACCCCCCCACCACCCCCACCCCCCCCCCCACCACCCCCCCACCACCCCCCACAACCCCCACCCCCCCCCCCCCCCCACAACCCCCCCCCCACCACCCCCCCCACCACCCCCACCACCCCCCCACACCCCCACAAACCCCCCCACCCACCCCCACCCCACCACCCCCACCAACCCCCCCACCACCCCACCCACCCCCCCCCCCCACCCCCCCCCACCCCAACACCCACACCCCAAACACCCCACAACCAACACCCCCCCACCACCCCACCCCACCCCACACCCCACCCCCCCAAAAAACAAAACAACCCACCCCCCCCCACAAAAACAAAACACACACCCACACCACACCACACCACACACCCCCCCACACCCAACCCCCCCACCACCCCACACCCCCCCCCCACACCCCAAACCCCCCCCCCCCCCCCCCCCCCCACCCACACCCCCCACCCCCACACACCCCACCCCCCCAACCCCCACCCCCACCCCCCCCCCACCCCCCCCCCCCCACACCCCCACCCCACCCAACCACACCACACCCACCCCCCCACACCCCCACCCCCCACCCCCACCCCCACCCCACCCCCCCACACCCACCCCCACACCCCCCACCCACCCCCCCACCCCCCCCCCACCCACCCCACCCCCCCACCCACCCCCCCCCCCCCCCCCCACCCCCCCCACCCCCCCCCCCCCCCCCCAACCACCCCCCCACCACACACAACACCCCCCCCAACACCCCCCCACCCCCCCCCCACCCCCCAACCCTCCCCCACCCCCCCCCCCCCAACCCCCCCCCCCACCCCCCACCCACCCCACCCCCACCCCACCCCCCCCCCCCCCCACCCCCCCACCCCCCCACCACCCCCACCCAACCCCCCCCCCCCCCACCCCAACACCCCCCCCCAACACACCCCCCCACCCAACCCCCCCCCACCACCCCCCCCACCCCCAACCCCCCCCACCCACCCCCCCCCCACAACCCCCCCCACCACCCCCCACACCCCCCCACCACCCCCACCCACCCCCACCCCCCCCCCCACCCCCCCCCCCCCACCACCCCCCCACAACCCACACACCACACCCCCCCACCAAACCCCACCCCCCCACCCCCACCCCACCCCCCCCCCCCCCCCACCACCCCACCCCCACCACCCCCCCACCCACACCCCCCACCCCCCCACAACCACCCCCCACCCCCACCCCCCCCCCCCACCCCAAACCCCCACAAAACCCCACAACACCCCCAACCAACCCCCCCACCCCACCCCCCCCCCATACCCCAACCCCACCCCCCACAACCACCTACACCCCACCCCAACACACCAAACAACATAACAACCACACAAATACCCCCACACCAAACAACACAACCATAACCCACCACCACATCCATAACCACACCACCCAATAAACACCCTCCCCAACAATCCCATACCACACACACACATACCCCAACACCAACCTCACCAATAAACCACCATCACCCTACCCCCAACACCATCTGACCACCACCCCACACCTCTACACACAACATCCATCTAACAACACAAACATATCACCCAACACCCCCCACCACCCCCTAATAATAATAATTCCTCTCACCTACTCTCTCTCTCTCTCCTCCTCTTCTCTTCATCTCTCTTCTCTCTCCTTTATCTCTCTTCTCTCCCATATCTCTCTCTCTACCCCCTCTCCTCTCTCTCTTACCTCTCTCTCTTCTCCTCCTTAAACCTCTCTCTCTCTCCTATCTCCTCTCTCTCTCTTCCTCCTCTCTCATCTCTCATCTCCTCATCCTCCCTCTTCTCTCTCTCTCTCTCTTATCTCCCCTTGTTGTGTCTCTCTTCTCCTCTTCTCCTCTCTCTATATCTCCCTCTCTCTATATCCTATTATCCTCTCTTATATCTCCTATCTCCCTCTCTTCTGTGTGTGTCCCTCTCTATGATGATTAGATAGATGTATTGTTCCTCTCTCTTCTGTCCCTCTCATCTCCTCTTCTCTCTCCTCTCTACCTCTCACATCTCTCTACTCCTCACCTCATCTACTCCTCTTTCACCTCTCATCATACACTCACCCCCACCACTCTCACTCCTCACACAACCCCCTCTCACACTATCCACCCTACTCTCAAACTAAACACACACACACAACACACAAGAGAACACACACACAAACACACACAGTACCACACCCCACACTCACACTCCCCAAACACACCCACACACACCACCCACACCACAACACACACAAACAACACACAACAACAACACAACACCACCCCACACACACACACACACAACACATACACAACACACCAAACACATCAACCCAACAACAACACACACAACACACACCCCACACACACACACACAACACACCCACACACCACACAAAACACAAACACCACAACATCCACAAACACAACACAAAAAACAAACCCACACACACACACAACAACCACAAACCCAACCCCAACCCCCCCCCCCCCAAACCCCCCACACACCAAACAACCCCTACCACCACAACTACACAAACAACCTCCCCCACCCCACCCCCCCAACACAACCCCAACCACCCCCCCCCCAAAACAAACCCAACCACCTCCCCACCCACCACCCCCAACAACCAACAACCCATATCTCCCCAACCCCCCCAACCCCCCCACACAAACCACAACACCCCAACACCATCCCACCTCAATCATACTTTCACATAAAATTCAAAAACCCACCCCTACCAACAAAAAATACAAAAAAAAAACCACACATACAAAAACCAACAAAAAAACACACAACAACTCCAATACCCAACACCACAACCACCAAACCCCCCCCCCTCCCACCCCCAACACCACCCATCCCCCCACCCCCCAATCCCCCCCCAACACCTCACCCCACAACAAAAAAACACCCCCCTACATACCAACCCCACCCACCACCACCCACCAACCACCCCCCCCCACAACCAACACACAAAACACCCAAACAAACACACAAACCCCCCCAAAACCCACCACCCACCCCCCACCAACACCCAACCCCCCCAATATACCAAACCCACAACCCACTACCACCCACACCCCCCCACCCCCCACCCCACACCCCACCCCCCCCCCCTCCCCCCACCCCCAACCACCACAACCCACACCACCACCACACCCCCACCCCACCCCCCCCACCCCACCACAACCCCCCAACCCCCCCCCACCCCCCCCCCCCACCCCACCCACTCCCCCCCCCCCCCAACACCCCAACACCCAAAACCCCCCTACAACCCCCCCCCCTTAAATTACAAACACTAAACCTATCTCCCCTTATCTACACTTAAACATCTCTGCTTCTCACCTATCTCCACACTCTCATCTCTCTATCTCTCCAACTACTTTAATCTTCTCATCTCTCTCCACACCTCCACTACACACAACCACACATCTCTCACAATCATATCTTCTACACAACCTAACTCAACTCCACACACCACAACACCACACACAACACCACACACACACACAACACCACACACAACAACAACACACAATACAACACCACACACACCACACCACACACACAAAAACCCAACCACACACACTCACACCACACAACACCAACAAACAACACACACACACAACACACACACACACTCACAACCACACACAACACACCCTCACACACACAACAACACACACACACACACACTCACACCACAACACACAACAAACCCCAACACACTACTACTACACTCACTCTTAAACACCATCACTCTACTCACACTCATCATCTCTTCCTCTCTCACAATCTCTACTCACCAATACCTCTCACACACACACACAAAACTCTCACATACACACTCTCTCCCCACCACTCACACACCAAACATCCACACAAAACCCCTCACACTCTCACATAACTCCCTCTCTCTCTTCTCCTATCTCCCTCTTCTCTCACCCTATTCTCTCATCTCATATCACCCCCCTCACCTCTCTCTCTATCTATTCTCCTCCTCTCACTTTCTCATCCTCTCTCACTCTCCTCACACCCACACTCTTCACTCTTCCTCTCTCTCTCTCTCTCTCTCCCTCTCTCTCTCCTCTCTCCCTCTCTTCTCTCTACTCTCTCCTCTCTCTCTCTCCTATCTACTATATACCACAATTACCTCTCACCTTCGCCCCTCCTCCTATCTTACCCATCTCTTCTTAATAACACTAACCTAACTTAAAAACCACCCCACACCCCCCACAAACCATAAACAACCCAACCCAACACTAATCCAAACCCCCACTCAAAAAAACCTACCAAACCTCCCCTCATAATCTAACAAACAAGAAAACATCCCCACAAAAAATCCCCCATCCCCCCCCCTAATAATCTCCTACAATCACAACTCCCCTTTAACACCATTACCCCTACTAAATAATCAACCCCATAGTTCCAACACACTCACCTACTTTCAATCACATTATTATCCCCTCTAATTCCAACATTAGCTACAAACTTGCAACAATAACACATCACACGTAACCTCCACTAATTTTCATACTCTCACTCAGACGCCTCGTAATTTTTACCATGTTAACTAATAACAAAAAAACCCTTCTAGCGATATACTTCGTATTACGGACATGTGACTCCATAGTCCTGCCTGCGCCTCTAATTTAGGATGGATTTCTAATTTTGTGCGGCACCCAAGCGTCTCCATTGAAATCTCATGTGTTGACCTTTTAGATTTCTAGCGGTCCATGGCCTTTAGATCAACATCTGCCGCACACAGCACTTGCTCGCCCTCTTCTGAGACATCAGCAGGAGTAGCGCGGTTTTTCCAGTGATGTCTGGACATCGTTTTTTTTTCTTTTCATAAAGTCTCGCGTTCTGGACAAACCAGCGCAACAGGAGACCATTGAGACAAACACATGCATGTGATTTGTGTTGCTCTAACATCAGTCCTTGGCTCGTAAGTCTCTCCCTGCTCCATAGACTACACAGTGAGAGCATCAGAAGCCGCGGCCCTGCGCTCCTTACCTATACTCACACCCCCCCCCATAACCTCTCCTCTTTTCGCTACCCTCTATCTATAAACTCCAACATTTACCCACTAACTAGCCCATTCCTCTCACCCTATTCCAACTATCCAATATTCTCACCTCATACACAATACCTCCTATTATCAACCTCTCCTTATCCATCCTCTCCCCCCCTTCCAATTCCACCATACTCACTCCACAAAAACCCCCACCACTCCACAAATCACCAACACACCCACCCCCCCCAAAACCCAACACACCACAAAACACCCAATATAATCACATATAACACACCAAAACCCCCCTCTCTCCACTCTCCTCTCTCCACCCAAACACATACCAAATAAAAACATCCCACACCCCCACCTACCAAAAACAAAAACAAACCAATAAACACCCCCACATACCCCCCAAAACCCCCCAACCACCAACCCCACCAAAAAACCCAAAACATCAACAACAAAACAAAAATACATCAACAAACCCAACCCCCAAACAAACACAACAACACCCCCAACACCCACCCCAACACACTACTCAACCCAAAACCACAAACCAAACCACAAACAAACCCCAAACCCTCATATCAAACTTATTAAAAAAATTACATCAAATAAAAAAACACACACCATAACCTCCCCAACAAATCAACATCACTAACAACCATACAAAAAAAATACCACCCATTCAACAAACCACACCCAAACAAACCATCATTCTCTCATCACTCACCCCCCCCCAAACACAAAAAAAAATGACTACAATTCAAACATCAACCCCCAAAACCCCCACAATAAAATCCAACCACTTCAACCCCCACAAACCCCCAAAAATTCAACCCCCCCCCCCCCAACAACCCCCATCAAACCTAAACCACCTTCACCCCCCCACCCTCCAAATCTCCAAACCCCCCCTCAACAAAATCTACACTACTAAAAAATCACAAAACAATAATAAACCCAAAAAATAACCCACACCCCCCCAACCAACTAAATCCATCCCTCCATTTCTATCAACTACTCCTTCCATACCATAACCCTCTTCCATTACCCTAAATACTATTCTTACTCTTCACCCAAAACCATATACACACTCTTAAAACACCTTACCACCCCCTTTAAAACCAAAAACCCCATTTAAAAACCATCTAAAAACAATCCTCATCCTTCCCTAACTATACCCCCCCTCCTTCAATTATCATCAACCTTGCCAAAACCCAAACACCACATTATATCCCAAAAAAAACATATATATCAAAATAGACATGTGTGATGCTAAAACCCCTAATTAAACTAATAATATAATTTCAACCCATTAAAATAACACTACACATCTCATTCCAAATATATCCACTTTCTCACCCCACACCAATACAATACAATACAATAAAACTCTACTAAAAACCAAACCCAAAAAAAAAACTATCCAAAATCAACCACCCTATAACCCATCATCCCTAACCCCACTCTCTAAAACACAATCTACAATCCAAACATAATCCCCCCAAAAATTAACCCTTACCCCATACAATACCATCCCCCCAAACAACCCAATACAATATATTATCCAAATATCACCACCACACCACAAACCATAACAAAATCCCAAACACCAAAACATCACCCACCACACACCCCAACACCACCACAATAAAACCACACACCCAAACACCCCAACAACACCCCCCACAACCCCCCCCAAAAACAAACCCCCCCCACCCCCCTTTATCCCCACAAATCCTATTCCACCCAACCAAAACACAACCCAAAAAACCCCCCACCCCATCCCCTATTTTCATCCCCCACAAAACTCCCCAAACTACCACAAATACTAAAACCCCTCCCCAAATCATCCCAACCTATCTTATAAATATAAAACATAAAATCCCCACTCTCTCCATTCAACAATCCCCCCAACACCAATCCCCTCACTCTACCCCCTATCTCCTCTAACAACCTCACAAACCCCCTCAACCAACAATTCAAACCTTAATCCAAATCTATTCCAACACCCCTGCATTCAACTAACAAATATCCCCCCAACAATACTCATAATTCAAAAATAAAATTCACCCAAACATAATTCCTCAACCCAACCTACCCCTACACTTACAAAATCCCTCCAACCCCATTAAAACAACCTCCATTACCCATACAATTCAACAACCCCACATCCCACCAAAACTCCCAAACCATTACCCATCATCATCCAATCCTTCCCCCCCCCATCATATCCCCCCCCATAACCCCTATTCATTATATAACCTTTATCATTCATATAATCAAAAATTCCCCACAAACTAAAATCAAGTATTCCCCCCCCCCCTACTCAAAATTCTCTCCCAATCCCCCTCTCCAACAACCCCCATAAATTATATACACCCTATTCAATATTCCCCCCCAAACCCCCTCTCAAAAACATTCACACAAATATCCATTAAACAACAATCCCACAACCCAACTTCCCCTCACCTAGATAGACTATCGCATGCAATAATACTGATGAGATAGATACACACCACCACCTCATAACTAACACATCCTAACCACCCTCTATCACCATTTCACAATCATCCAAACACCTAAACTAATAAATATCATCCTTTAAATTCTTCTCCTTTAAATTACACCTCTCTGCCCCTATTAATACAACACCAACCAAACCAAACCAATAATCCCCCTATCAAACTCTCATGAAACTCTGTTCCCCAGTGTAAATACCCACTCAAAACCAATCCCTCCCCTACAATCCCATCTTATAATAAAAATAACATTAAAAATCTAAACCCTCCATCTCACACCCTCTCTTATAAACACTATCAAATCAACCCTTTAAATTACCAACAACCCTCTATTTCCCCCCAATTCAACATCAAATTCTATTAAAATATTCCATCCCTACCCTTTATCCACCACAAATCTCCAAAACTAAAAAACAAATAACCCCCTAAAACCAACACACCAAAAAAACCAACCCCCTCAATATACAATATTAAATCAACATCCCCCCCAACAAAACACAAAAAACATAAATCCTCATCCATATTTCCCATAATCCCTTAACCCTTTACTACACAAAATCCTTCATAACACCCCCCCAAAACCTTCAAAACCCATCAACTCTACCTTAAACATCTCACTTCATCATCTCCCTCTCTAATTCTTTCCTCCTTAATCAAAAAACCCAATTCATCCCCTTCCATTAATCTAATTCCCCATTCTCAACATTTTACCCCCCCCAAATTAAAACAAAAACACCACAAACAATTCCCAATAAAACACACATTCTTCCAACCCAACTCTCTACTCCCACCATCTCACCCCCACACCTCCCATCCCTCGGTACCTCCTAAAATACCAATTAAACACCATTATTAATATTCCCAAACCACTTAACTTAAACCCCCCCCCATAAACCATTCATCACAAACCACAAATATCAACAATAACTCTCACCCCCATTTCTCCTCCCCCTTTTCCTTCTTTCCCCCCCCTCTTTTATTTCATCACCCCCCAACATAATATACTCACCCCACCCCCAATCTCACCTCTCACATACTTACATACATCTAACATCACATTAACAAACATCACACATAAACATAATTTTATCACCTAATTTCCACCCAACCACATCCTCATTCCCTTCCCCCCCATCAACAACCTAAATAACACAACACTTTCTTCTAACACACTCACACTACTCACTCACTATCCTCATCCTATAACCCACCCACTCCTTTTATAAAATCCATAAATCATAACCCAAAATAACTTCCCCCCTTCCTTCCCACCTCACTACCTTCTACTCCTTCCTTCCAACACTTTTAATCTTCCTTCCAACCAATCTACACCCTCCCCTCATCCCTCCCCCAATTTCCATCCCCCCCCCTCATTACTCTACATTCAACCTCAATAAATATACCTTCCATTCATTATCTACTCCTCTTTTACTCTACCCTCATCAACTCTATTAACCAAAAACTATAAAACCTACCCCTCATCCCCCCCTTCACCCCATCAACCCCTTCCACCCATTTTATACATAATAAACCACACTCTTCCACCAACCTATACAAAACCCCTTTCATACCTATATAACTCCCCAACAACCAACAACCACCACCCCCACACTAATAATAATATAACTCTATTCTAAATTACCCCTAACTCTCAATAAAACTACTTTTTTCCATCTTCATTTACAATAACCTCCCTAACTATTCCCACTACAATAAACCAACCATTAAACTAATTAAAATTATAAATATAAATACCCTTTATTCCCCTAACCACAATCTTAATCTCTACAATACCCATCAAACTCACAATCAAACCAACCCCCTTTCCCCCCAAACTCACATTCTCACCTCATTATCTTAATAATAAAAATCCAACCCTACATAAAATCTTAACATCAAATCATAATAACTTACCTCCTAAATCTACCAATACATCTTATTAAAATCATTCAAACACACATATAAAAATCATAATAACACCTAATTTACTAATACCACACACCCCCCAACACACTCCCATAAAAAAATTACAAATCACACTATACCACACCTCCCCACCACCACAAATATTATAAAAAATACTCTATTCATCTAAAACAACACCCATTAACAACCATTACATTACCCTAATTCCTTAATCTTTAATTAATATTCCCCATCAACACCCCCAACTTCATACACCAAAAAAATCAATACACAAACAACCCTACATTACACCATATCTTCTTATTCACACAATTTAAGTAACATCATCAAAAATTAACAATCCCTCATATAAATACCTCCAAAACCCCCACAATATTAAAATCACATTTAAAAATTTATTATGAAATTTATACCTACTAAAATCAATCCCACCATTTATACCATTTTCATGTTTAATATCCATCTATAGTTTAGAGGATGATACATTAATTTCAATCCTCAAATTGAATAATTTTCAAAAGATTTAACAATTAAAACCAAATGTGTGTTCCACCATAATCTTGAGTTTCGCTAAGCTGCACCGAATCTCTGGTTTGCATCATAAAAAAAAATCAACCTCTTCCTTCACCTCTTTTCTCATCATTCTAAGTCATTGAAACATTACATAAGAGATTTACAAATTATCTTAAATGTTTTATAAGTGCTTGCAAAGTCTTACGATGCCCCTTGATCCTTTCTACATTTGCCACATTTCCAGGCTTTCAAACATAAAATATAAAAGTTTAATTTTTTGACCTGGAATCAAACAAGTGGGACACAATCTTGAGTGGAAAAAAAATTATTGGATTAATTTAAACTTTTTTAACAAATAAAAAACTGGAAAGTTGGGGGTGCATTATTATTCGGCCTTAATTTCAGTGCAGCAAAACTATACTAGACGTTCCGTGAGGATCCAATGTTGTCCTAAATGACTGATGATGATAACTAGAATGCGCTGTGAGTAACTCAAGGTTCCGTATAAATGCACTGCTGCTTAGATAGTATCAGGGTTCTGTTAAAGACAGAGAGAACCATGAAGACAACGGAACACACGCAGGTCCGAGTTATGTTGTGGAGAAGTTTAATAAAGCTGGATTTGGATTCATAAAGATTTTAACAAGCTGTAAACATCTTTGGAGCACTGTGAAGCAAATATATTGAAATGGAAGGAGTATCAGACCACTGCAAACATCAAGACCGGGTCAGTCCTCCAAACTTTCATCTAAACAAGAGAGACTGATCAGATGATGAGCCAAGAGGCCCATGATACTATGGATGAATGCAGATAACTACAGCTGATGTGGGTGAGTCTGTCCATAGGACAACAATCGTCGTTTGCACTGACACAAATCTGGCACCGTTTATGGAAGTGGGGCAAGAGATGCCATTTCTCAAAGATATCATAAAAAGTCTCTGTTTAAGTTTTGCCACATGCCACCTGGGAGGAACACCAAACATGTGGAAGAAGGTGCACTGGTCAGATGAAACAAAATCGAATTTTTGGCCACATGCAAAAACGATATGTTTGGCGTAAAAGCACCACAGCTCACACACCTCGAAAACACACCTCCCCACTGTTTAACATTGGGTGGTGGCAGCATATGGTTTGGTCATGCTTTTCTTCAGCATGGGGGCAGGAAGATGGCCTTAAAATTGATGGGAAGATGGATGATGAAGCCAAATAGCAGGACCTATTCATTGAAGAAAACCTTTTTGGTCTGCAACATATACTGATACTGTGACCGAGATAAATTTACCTTGATAGGAACCCAAACCTAAAATCACATAACATTTAAATGGTTCACAATATACTTTATCCATTATATATCAATTCCAATTCACACTTCCTACCCTGACCATCCAATCGAGATCATTTGTGGACCGCTCAAATCCATCTTCACCCCATATCACTCTATATAATCCCTTCTACATTTCCTTAAATCTAAACCATCATATCCCCCGTATGCCATCCATCTCTCCATAAACAATCATCTCCCCTTATTTATTATTTTACCCCACAACTTCTCACATTTTTTCTCACACAATCCATCCAAAACCTAAATAACAATAACCCCCCTAAACCAACCCACCCAAACTAACCAACCCCCTCAAATACAATAAATCAATCCAAAAATCCCCCCCCACCCAAAAACACACAAATCCTCATTCCATATTCCATAATCCTTAACTTCTTCCTCACAAACTCCTTCCCTACATACATATAACTCCCCCTTATACTATAACTCCTCAACTCCCCTCCCTTCAAAATAATTCCATTCATCCCTCTCCAACCCTACCCATCATTCACCAATTATTCCAACCCTCTTATTAATCTATCACTAACCCATCCCCCATTCAACCCCACCCATATCCCAATTCCCTAACCCATATATACAAATAAACCAAACAACCCAACTACAACAAAAAACTAAACCAAAACACCCCACACACCCTATAAAACCAACCCCACCCCCACACACCCCCACAACCATCCAAACAATTACATAAAATACAATCCCAATTAACCCCCCTCCTACAAACATCTCAAACCCACCCCTATCTCCACACTACACCTCACCCAACACCTTGCAATCTACATACACATTAAAAAACCATCAAATATCACATCCACCACATAAAAAAAATTAACAAATTAATAAATTTAACTATAACCATTAACCTACCCAACCATATTAATTACCAAACATACATCATTCCTATTTCCCCACACAACCCCCTATTCCCCCATCTCCAATTTTTCACTTTCCCCCCCTTTCTTTCTCCAAATCTCCTTTCACTAAATTCACCCTCTATTACTGTTGTTATCCCATTCCTTATTAATCATCTCAATTTTAATCCATACAAATACAACAATCCCCCCCCCCCTTTCTTTCCCCCCCCTCCACTCCCCCACACCCCACCCCACCAAATTAAAAAACCCTACATAAAACTAAAAACCATAAAAACTTCCTACCACTAAAAAACCATTATAATTAAAAACCACCATACCAATAACAACTAATCCAACCCCCCCACTTTAAAACCTAAAAACACACACCTTCATATCCCCTCCCCAACACCTAAACATACATATCACAAATAATTTAACTATCACTATTCACTCCCATCATTACCATTTATCCCCCCACCCAATACAACCCACAAACCCCACCCACTAAACACACCTACCACACCCCCCCCCACTACCCCCCCCTTCACCCACCAAAACCCCAAATCCACACTAACCCCTCAAACCCAAACCTAATTACTCATTTAAAAACCATCACATATATACACCCCACCCTAACAAACCCCCCCCATCTACCCCCCAATATATAGAGATCCATCTGAGTCCCCCAATCCAACCAACCAACACCCAACAACCACCACACCACAACCATATCCCCACCCCCCCCCCCACAAAAAACACCCACAAACCAAACTCCCAAAACCACCTACCAACAACAAAAACCCCCACCCCCCACAACACCCACAACCCCCCCAACCCCCACCCAAAATCCCCCCCCCCATAACACACACACAAAACAAAAAAAACCCACACCACCAACCCACTAACAAAAAATAAAACCCCCAACAACCCTTTCCACCCCTCTAAAAATACCCCCATACACACAACCCTAATACAACACCAACCCACACAAATCCACTCACTTAAACAAACCCAACATAACCCCTCAAACTATAAAAACAACATACAAAAACCCACAAAAAATAAACCCAACTATAAATTCAACAAAACTACCAACAAAACACACAACCAAAAAATACATTCCCAACACACTCTACAAATAAACAACCCCCCCCCATCAAAAAAAAAACAAAAACCAAAAATTACATACATCCTTACAACATCCCACCCCCCCCCCCCCTCAAACTCCACATTACCCCCATAAAAATAACAAAAACTCCCCCCCTATCTAATATTATACTATCAACCTCCCTTCCTAACACCCCACCCTAAAACCATCTCACACCATTACACTCAAATATACTCAACCCCCCAACACCCAAACACCCAACACATCCTAACATACATATACACTTTACACTCACTCCTATAACCCAAACACACTTAACCCATTCCCCTAACTCCTTAATTATCTAACACCTTACTTATCATACCCTCTATCATATACCAACTCATAAATTACTTACACTCATTTCATCCCATAACTCACCATATACATAATTCCATTAACTCCCCTCATTTCCATTCCATCCTTCCCCCCTACGGTTTCAAGTGGGGGTTGTGGTTTATGTTATAGGGGGGATTTAAATCTCAAACCCAATATCCGCCATTCATTACCTCCCTACTCTCCTCAAGTCTTGACCCCCCCCGGTGTGGGTTGCTAATGATTAAACCACACCACACCCCCCCACAACCCCCCAACCACCACAACCCCCCCCCCCCCACACACCCCCCCCCCCCCCCCCCCCCCCCCCCCCCACCCCCCCACCACCCCCCCAACACCCACCCCCACCCCCCCACCCCCCCCCCCCCCCACAACCCACCCACCCCCACCCACCACCCCCCCCCCCCAACCCCACACCACCAACCAAACACAAAACCCCACCACAACCCACCCCCCCCCACCACACCCCCCCACAACCCCCCACAACCCCCCCCACCCAACCCCCCAAAAACCCCCCCACAACCCCCCCCCACCCCACCCCCCCCCACACACCCCCCCACCCACCCCCCCACACCCCCCCCCACCACCCCCCCCCCACACACCCCCCCACCCACCCCCCCCCCACACCCCCCCCCCCCACCCCCCCCCCCCCACCCACCCCCCCCCCCACCACCCCACAACCACCCCACCCCCCCCCCACCCCAACCCCCCCCACCACCCCCCCCACCCACCACCCCCCCCCACCCCCCCACAACCCCCCCACACCACCCAACCCCCAACCCCCCCACCCCCCCCACCACCCACCCCCCAACCCAACCCCCACCCAAACCCCCCCCACCCCCCCCCCCCCCCCCCCCACCCCAACACCACCCACCCACCAACACCAACACACCAACCACCCAACCACCATTGATCATATGTATCCAACACCATCCACACATATATAACCCCCCCCCCCCCACTCCCACCCATCCCCACACACAATTCACCCTAACCCACCTAACAAACCAACACCAAATACCAACCACCCCACCCCAAACCCATAAATAACCCAAAAAACAACCCACACCCCTCCCCCCCTCCCAAATCCCCTAAAATCTCCCCTTTACACACCCCAATCACATCTAACATCAACCCAAACCTACAAACAACACCCCCCCCCCTCCATACCATCCAACACCCACCAATAACATAATAAAACCCCCCACAACCAAAACAAAACAAACACACAACCCCACCAACCAAAACAAACCCCCCCACACACACCCCAAAACACCCAAAAACCCCCACAAACCCCCCACCAACCCCACAACAACAAAACCCCCCCCAACAACCCACCCAAACACCCACCCCCCCACCCAACACAACCAACCCCCAACATATCCCCAACCCCCCCACCAACACCCCCCAACCCCACCCCCTCCCCCCCAACCCCCCTCCCACCCCCCCACCCCCCCCCCCACCACCCCCACCCCACAACCCACAACCCAACACCCACCCCCCCCACACCCACCCCCCCCACCCCCAACCACCACCAACCCCCCACACCACCCCCACACCCCCCCAACCAACCCACCCACCCCCCCCCCACCCACCCCCACACCCCACCACCCCCCACCCCCACCATCTACCCCCCCCCACCCCCACCACCCCCCCCCCCCCCCCCCCCAACCACCCCCCCCCCAACAACACACACCCCCAAAACCCCCCACCCCCCCCACCACCCCACCCCAACACCCCACCCCCCCTCCCCCCACACCCCCCCCCCCCCCACCCCCACTCATTCACCTCATCCACCCCCCCCCCCCCACACCCCACCCCACCCCCACCACCCCCCCACCCAACCCCCCCCCCCACCCCACACCCCCCCCCAACCACACCCCCCACAACCCACACCCCCCCCCCCCCCCCCAACCCCCCACCCCCCACAAACCCCCCCCACCACCCCCCACCACCCCCACCCACCCCCCCCCACACCCCCCCCCACACCCCCCCCCACCCCCACCCCCCCCCCCACCCCCCCCCCCCACCCACCCTCCCCCCACAAACCCCCCCCCACCCCCACCCCCCCCACAAACCCCCCCCCACCACCCCCCCACCACCCCCCCCCACCCCACCCCCCCCCACCCAATCCCCCCCCCCAAAACCCCCCACACCAACCCACCAAACCAACACCACCAAACCCCCCACCCCCCCCCCCAAACAACCCACCCCCCCCACAACACACCCCCCCCCCAACACAAACCACCCCCAACACAACCCACACACACAAACCCAACACAAAACAACACCAACACCCCCCACACCCCAACCCAACCCCCAAACCCCCCCCCAACCCCCCCCCACCCACCACCAACAACCCCACCCCCCACCACAAACAAACCAATAACACCAACCCCCCACAATCACCCAACCAACAACCCAAACACACCCCCCCCAACCACCCCCCCACCCCCCCCCCCCCCCCCCCCCCCCAACAAAACCCACACCCCCCTAAAACCCCACACCCAACAACCCCACACCAAAAAAAAAAAACACACACCCCCCACACCCAAACACACACACATTCACCCTCCCCACAACCTCTAGACACACTCATCACTAAACACCCACACTCTCCTAATACTCCACTTCACACCCACCATACACACACACACCCTAACAACACACATATCTCCCTCTCTTCTCTCCCATATCCTCTCTCTCTCTCTCCAATTTCCTCTCCATATCTCTCCTCCTTCTCCTCTCTCTCTCTCATCCTCTCTTAATCTCCTCACTCTACTCTTCCTCTCCTCCTCTGTTCTAATCTGTGTTCTCGTCTCTCTCCTAATATCTCTCTTCTCTATACTATCTCCTCTCTTCCTATCTCTCCTCTTCTCTCTCCCTCTATCCTCTCTTATACTCCTCTACCCTGTCTCTCACTCTCTCCTTCTACTCTTCTCTCTTCTCTCCCTATAGATCCTATCTCTCTCTCTTCTATCCTATCTCATCTATCCTATCTCTCTCTCTCTCTCCTCCCTCTCCTCTCTATCTCCTATCTCATCTCTTATTCTACCATATCTCCTCTTCTCTATTATCTCTCAATATCTCCCTCTTCTCTCTCTCCTAATCTCCATCTCTTCATCTTCTCCTCCGCCTCTCTCTCTATATCATACATATCTCTCTCTCTCCTCATCTATATATTCATATCATCCTCTATCTCTCTCTCTTTATATCTCCTCTCATCTATCTCTATCTTAATCCCTCTCTCTCTCTACTGTGTCTGTGTGTGTTCTATCTATACTATCTCCCTCTCTATCTCTCCCTATCTCTCAATCTCTCTCCTTATCTTCCTTCTCTCCTCTCTCCCTCTCTCTTCTCTCTCCTATCTCTCCCCCCTCTCTCTCTCTCCCTTATCTCTTCTCTTTAATTCTCCTCTCTCTCTCTCTCTCTACTTATCCATACCCCCCCTACCCACCCCCCCAATAACCCCCCAACCTAAAATACATATATCCCCCCCTCCCTCATCCCCATCTTCCCTCACCATTAAAACCCTCCCCCACAACCTACTATCCCTTACATAAACCCAATCAATCCTTCCCTCCTCCCCCCATAACCATAACACCCCCCCTTCCCTCTCCCCATACATCCCTACCATCACCAATCCCCCCCCCTCAATACACTATACCCCCCCTTCTACCCCCCTCCTCCTCATCTACCCTCACCCCATAATATACTAAAACCTACCATCAAAAAAAACATAAACAACCTACCCACCATAATATACCACAAAAATAAACACCAACAACACCAAACCCCCTACTACCACTACCACATATATCCCACCCACCCACACAACCCCACCCCACCCCCCCACCCACCCCAACCCCCCCCCCACAAAACAACACCCCAACACCAACCCCAACCCACACCACAAACCCCACCACCACCACAAACTCACTAACCCCCCCAACACCCACACCCCCCACAACCCCCCACAACCCACCACCAAACCCCCCCCCCACCACACCACCCCCAACAACCCCAAACCCACCACCAATACCCCCAACCCCCCCCCCACCAACACCCCCAACAACCCCCACACACCTTCTCCAACAAATACCCCCCTCCCATACCTACAACCAAACAACCCAAATCCCCACACCCCACCCCCCCCCTCCTCACCCCCCTCCCCCCCCTCCATCATAACACTAAAACCACCAAAAACCCCCCCACTCCACCCATCCCAAATAAACTCATCCCAACAATCCTAAATCCACCCATAACACCACCCCCTTTTTCCCAATCTTAATTTAAAACACTATAACATCATCCCCCTTATCTCTATATATATCCTCTCTCTCTGATAGATATCTCCCTCTATATTTCTATATCTCTCTCTCTCCTATCTCTCCTATCTCATCTCCTATCTATATCCTATATATTTCTATATCATATATATATATCCTTTCTCACTATATCCTACTATTCTCATCTTCTCTATTATCCATATATCTATATCTCTATATCTAATTCATCTTTATCTATTCTATTATCTCATCTCTCCTCTTCATATTCTACTACTATCTCATATATATATATACTATATCATTATATCTCTATCTATATTATATTCATATATATACTATATTCCTATATCTAGCCAGACCGCCGCAGCACCCCGACTCCCACCCTGTTGCTTTCTGGGATTTATCTATATATCCTCTCCTCTTCTTTTTTTTATTTTTTTCTTCTCTTCCCTATATCATACTATATTCTCTCTCTCTCCTCTATATCTCTCTCTCTTATTCTCCTCTCTCCTCTACATCTCCCTCTCTCTACCTATCATCCTCTATCTCTTTCCATATCTCCTCTAATCTCTCTCTTTCTTATCTCCTATATTATATCTCATCTATCATCTTCTATCTCCTATCTCTCTCTCTGTCCTTTCCCCCTCTCCTCTTATCTTCTCCTATCTCCTCTATCTCTCTCTATCTCCTCTATATCATCTCCTATCTCTCTCTCTATCTCCATCTCTCTCTCTCTTCCTATCTCTCTCTCTCTTTCTCTCTCTCTCTCTCTTTCTCCCCTCTCTCTCTCTCTTCTCCTCCTCTCTCTCTCTCTTCTCTCTCTGTCTCTCGAAGTGATGATATTGTCTCTACACACTCAACAACACACACACACCAACTCACCCAAAACACAAAACCCCACCTCACCCATCTCCCCCACCAACCCAAAAACCCCCACAAACAACATACCATACTTCCTAACACAAAAAAAAAAAAAAAAACAAAAAAAACAAAAAAAAAAAATAAACAAAAATTTTAACCCCCCCAAACCCCCCCCCCCCCCCCCCCCCCCCCCCCCAACCCCCCCCACCCCCCCCCCCCCCCCACCCCCCCCCCCCCCCCACACCCCCCCCACCCCCCCAACCCCCCCACCACCACCCCCCCCACCCCACCCCCACCCCCCCCCCCCCCACCCACCCCCCACACACCACCCACCCACCCAAACCCCAACCACCCCCACCACCCCCAAACCCCCACCCCAAACACCAACCCACACACCCCCCCACAACCCCCCACCCCCCCCCCAACCCCCACACAACCCCCAAACACAACACCCCCCTCCCCCCCCACCCCCCCCACTCACCCCCCCCCCAACCCCAAAACCACAACCACACAACCACAACCCCCCCCAACCAACCCCCCCCCCCCCACAAACCCAACCCCACCCCCCACCCCCCCCCCCACCCCCCAAACCCAACACCACCCCCCACCCACCCCCACCCACACCCCCCCCCCCCCCCACCAACAACACCCACACCCCCCACAACCCAACCCCCACCCCCCCCCCCCCCCACCAACCAACCCCCCCCAACCAACACCCACACCCCCCCCCCCACCACACCCCACACCACACCCCCCCACCCAACCCACCAACACACCCCCCAAACCCCACACACCCCAAACACACCCCCACCACCACCCACAACCCAACACCCACCCCCAAACCCCAAACCACCACACCCCCCCCCCCATAACAACCACACACATACCCCACCCCCAAACAAACCCCACCCCCCCACAACCCACCCCACACAACCATTCCTCTCACCCTATTCCCCTCCCAACCCCCCTAACATCTACACCACAAACCACAAAACCCTCAATCATAATCCATTCTCCTCTATCCATCCATCCCTCCCCCCCCCTTCCATTTCCACCATACTCACATCCACAAAACCCCCCCCCACTCAAAACAATCACCCCCCCCACCTATCTAAAATCCCCCCTTTTAAACCCACACAAAATCCCCAATCCTAACTAACCCCCCCCCATTAACCAAATCCAAAACCTACTCAAACTCCACTAACTCATCACTAATATACCCTACTTCACACATACCCCTCCTTCCCACCCCCAATTAAAATACTAACCAATAAACACACTCTAATCAACAACATCCCATCCCACCCATACTAAAAACACATCCACAAAATCCACCACAACTCCTTCCCCTTAACAATAACAATACATCTAAAATAAAACCCTACCCCAAACAAATTAACTCCCCTCCACAAATTAACCCTCCCCATCACTCTATCCATACCCTAATACTTTATTAAAATCCCACCATCAATACCCCCCAAATCCCTCTATCAACTTATCTAAAAACATTACATCAATTATAAAATCACATAAACCATTACCATCCACATCCAAATCAAAATCCACTAAAACCTTACCCCTAAAAATTAACAACCCATTCCAACCCAACCACACCCCATCACCCCATCCTCCCATCTTTCTCATCATCAACCCCCAAACACAAAAAAAAATTCCCCACCAATTCAACATTCAACCCCAAACCCCCCCAATAAAATCCAACCCCCCCCACCTATCAACCCCCACAAAACCATATATTCAACCACCCCCCCCCCCTTCAACCCCCCCATCAAAACCCTGTGTGTCTTCAACCCCACACCCCTCCAATCTCAAACCCCCCCCCCTTCAACAAAATCTACACTACTAAAAATCATACAAAAACAATCTTAAAATCCATAAAATTACCACACCCCCCCCCCCACCCACTTTAATCCCATCCTCATTTTATAACATAAATTCCCTTCATACATAACCTTTCCCCATTACCCTAAATACTATTCTTATCTTCACCAAAACCCCAATTTTACCACCACCCATATTTAATCACTTAACCCCCCGTAACCACCCCAAAAACCCCATTAAAAAACCATCTAAAAACCCAATCCCTCATCCCTTCCCCCCTAACTATACCCCCCCTCCCTTCAATTATCATCAAAACAAAAAACCCTTCCCCAAACACCCAAACACCACAAATATATCCCAAAAAAACATATATATCAAAACAAAAACATTAAAACCCTATCAACCACATCACATATATTTCAAACCCTTAAAATAACCTACACATCTATCCCAACTAATATCCCAATTTCAAACCCAACAACCAATAAACATACAATACATAAAACTCTATTAAACCAAACCCCCAAAAAAAACTATCCAAAACACCAACCACCCTAATACCCCCATCATCCCCTAACCCCCAATCTCCTCAAAACAAAATCCTACAATCCCAAACATATTCCACCAAAAAATCCTAACCACTCTACCCCCCTTAATACATACCCCCACTATCTTCCCTATACCTGATTCCCTTTTTTCAAACTCTTCCCCACCCAAACAACCTTCCCTTCAAACAATAACAAAAATCACCTTTCCTAACATTCTTCAAATTCCCCACCCACCCCCTATCCAAAGTCTTCCCTACAACTTACCAAACCACTCCCCATACCCAAAAATCCCCCCAACCCTTCAACCCCTCACACCCCAACCATAAAATACCCCGGACTGGGGACAAAAAAAGGTTCAAGGAGCCCTATTTGACAAAAAAACAAAAAAAAAAAAACAGCGTTGTATAAGGCTTATATGAAGGTACAGGGGCTGAAGCTGTATTAGCTACATTAGCTATATTAGCTATATTAGCTATATTAGACTAATATCTAAATGACAAAGTAAAGGCTAAACACATAAAAACCATTCATGATTATCAAATGTGTATTTTCATTGCAGCATGTCCTGGAGAGAATGACGCACCACGTGACAACTCTGCTTTAAGTTTAACCTTCTTGCAATTGTACAAATACAGTAAATAAATCTGTTTTTTGGCCCCGAGTTCACCTGCATCACTGTCTGTTCATATCCATCACAGGCTGAAGTTTGCTGGAGCTGAATGTCCTTTATGCCTTTTCTTTCAAAAATCACCGTCTTCGAAGGGTTTTGAATCTGAAAATAGGTGTTCTGACTTTACATGAAGTTTTTGTCTTGAACATGTTTAACTTCTTTCTATACTGACTTAAACACCTAATCCAAATCTACATAATGAGCCCATCAACCTGAGGCTCTAACAAGTTCTGGAAACTGCTCTCGAATACTTGAAATAATTCATAGCTCTGTTACTTTCAATTTTCCTGTATTAAATAAAAACATGAGGAGAAAATATTGATATTATGAATTCTACAAGTGAGTAAGCTCACGACATTGTTTGCCATATCACGTTCAATCTCTATAAACAATCCTAGTTCCACATGCTTACCTACAAAATTCCAAACACCTTCACCTGATTGCACTGAAGGGACACTGTTTGCTCTCACCTTCAACCATTCCCTATATTGTTTCTCGTCTTGGTGGTTTGTGTTTTCCCTATGTGATGTTAACAGAAGATTAATCATCACAATTCATAATTTGCTATTACTTGTGCTTTCTCTTACTTACTTTCCAACTGTTAAAAAAGCTCCTGATATCTTTTATCTTATTTGTGGAGGTGGCATTTTTTCTAAATTATATAAGAAGGTATAGACAATCAAAAACAGACATTCATATACATGAACTGCAGAATCATTTATATAACTTGGCCAATGTCAAAAGTTACATAGTATTTCTCAATACAATGAGTTAACAAGAGTTTGGCAATAAGTAACAGTGTGGATTTTTCTATATTTTCTTTTTTTTATTCCACTCTCTACCCAAAAAGGCAAGTAATGACTCACAGGGCTCTCAAGTATGCAAAATAAAAACTTAAATGACCTGTTGTGGTGTGTTTTGCGCACAACCAGCATGCATCGTTAACGCAATGGAAAATTTACGTATCCGAGCTTTAATTTCGGGGGCGCTGGTTGCGCTTTGGGAAGAGTCAGGGGAGAGACATGTCAGAGACACAGGGGAGAAACGGGGGAGATACGAGGGAGACCCGCACTTGCAACATGGTTCTGTCTGCATATGGTCCGAGCTCGGTACCATGAGCTGTGCTTTCACTGAGCGCCGCGGTTGTCATTACAAAGCGGCAGCAGCTGCACCAGGACGTGCACATTCGAGTGCATCTCTTGAATGTGCTTAGAGCAAATAACAGCAAGTGCCCGCTGTCACACATTTCACAGAAATTACATTATCAGCAGATAAAGGTTGTAAATCGTGGATCCGTGGAATATTTTCATCCCTAGTTTATCCTGATTCACACAACACACCCACTTATACATTTTGGATAGTAAGAGCACAATAAGTATTTTTTCAGCCTTTCAACCAACCTGTTTCTTTATTGGAGCCAGTTCTGTTCTGTCTCTGTGCCGTGTGAGCTCCTCGGAACATTAAACAGTGCGCTGACAGATTAGAAATAACGTAAGTACTTTGAATGGTAATAGATCTACAGTACTTTCCTCTGATTACTCACGTGCTACAACGCTCAGGGAACGAAAAAAAACACTTGCTTCACGCTGGCTAACTTTTAAAAATTAAACAGTCGCTCAGTGCTTCAGTTTGGCGCTGAAGAAGACAGCCAATCACTGCAGAGAACGGAACGGGTCACGTGCTGCTGCTGCTGCTGTTGCTCTGGAGGCGAGGAGGAGGCGCGACGTATGCACAAACGGAAGACATGTGTCCCGGACCGTCCGGGTCCCGGGACATCATGTCATTTTGGTGGGGACTTCTTAGTCCTCACCAAATATTGGTGGGGACATGTCCCCATGGTCCCCACGCAAACCTACGCCCTTGGTTCAGACGATGCATGCACTTGCGTAGATAGAGGTATGGACGCACTTTCACTAAATATCAACTGCATGAGTTTAGCCAGCTGTACTGCTGCTGTACTTTTCAGCATTGGGGAAAACCGAGGAATGTAAGTGGTGGGCGGGCTTTGATGCTAGCGGTGGTACTTCCTCATTGGCGAACATGTTTGCAACACATATTTACAAGCACAGTAGAATTTTAACTCCGAGTGAAGACATATGACACTCTTTATTATTAATCATTTATTCATTGTTCTGACTGCTCGGGTCCCTTTTAAACAACAAAAAATACCTCTTTTTTGTGCACTTTATTTTAAAAAAGCCATTATTTGGCAGATACTGCATAGTGTACATTTTATATTTTTTTGTATTGGTCCATGGCCACATTGTAAATAAAGGGATGGAAATAAAATAAAAATGTGTTTTTAAAAAAAAATCAGATTAATTGATTATTAAAATATTTGTTAGTTGCAGCCCTAATATAGATGGACAATGCTAACATAGACACACAGTATCTAGATTGACAATGTTGCAATCCCACTAGCTCAATGAAGCATGATAAGGAAGTGCTATGGTCTCTATGTGGTCTATCTCTGGTACCAACCCACTGCATTGTGACTGTGGACTTTTTTTGAAAGAAGTTTGTTTTGACCCTGTTATTTTGACACATTCCTGTCTTGCCCACAGTGAAAAGTCAACACAGGTCTAAACGACACACCAACCTTTCTAAATCCAGTTTAAAAACAACAAAAACACATTTAACACTGTCTTCAAACCAGTGGAATGATTCAGGCTACAAAAGCAAAAACAGATGAATATTTTTGATCTCTTTGACGCTTCTTGAAGCTGGACGACCATCACGTTTCTACAATGTTTTCTCATCACGCCGCCCTTCCAAGCTCCTCTCCTTGCATCATCTTTGAAGCGTCTAATTTTGAGAAAACAATTTGGTCTCGCGCTTCACCCACACGTTTATCATGCTCCACAATAAACCCAAACGCCT